TGTCGATGCTCAAGTCCGATCCTTCGTCGCTGACATTGTTGGTTACGATCTCACCCACCATATTCCGCTTCTCCGGGCGGTGGGACTCACTAACATGGAAGGTTTCCGAGTTATGGCGGGCTGGAAGGACGCAAAGCGCCTCGATAATGCATTGAAGCGGTTGTTGGGCGGGGACAACGGAATGAAGGGCTTCGAGTTGATGTTTTTGAGCATGGCCATCGAGGCATTGGCAGAGTAGCTATTGAGTTTAGCCAATTATACGATACAAATATATGTTCCTATAAAAAGAGTCTATCGATAGAAACAAATACATTATCTGAGTTGTCTGAAGAAGAGTTGCAGTCTGTTGCTTATAAGCGATATTCTCCGTCTCAGTCGCAGCTCGGTTTCCACGATGTCGCTCCGCATCTGGCCTCGTCTCGTCTGAAGAGGTATTGGTGTGGAGCAATCTGTGATTCGTTGTTCACCTTAGCCTGGCAGCCCGCTGCTTTTTAGTGATATTCTCTCGGTGTCTAGAATAGTTAGGAATTTGCACGCTTGGATGCTTTTGACGGAGTCAGACGGACAAGGCTCGGTAATTTTGGCCAGTGAGCTTGGCCCTTTCGCGGTCTGCTACACGTTCGCTAGCAGTGCGCTCTGATCATCGACTGCATATGCTGAGTGCACGAAAAGGTTAGAGATAGGAACCCACCGAGCCATCCTCTCCTGTGTCCTCTGCCGAACAAGTTCAGGATTCCTTTTCGACATTAAGTTGAAGCGGAGATGTTTGTTGCCCTACGCACCTGGTTCTGTACCTGGCGCTAGCTCGACGGCGAGCCAGAATCGTCGAAAGAGGACGCGGGATGGAAGTTTTGGAGGGCATGAGTCAGCGTATGTTTGATCGCTGTCATAGCTGTGGATCACAGAGACGAGCAACGTCGTTGGTTCGTTGGTGCAATGACCAGAGCCAGAGACTGGCTGCTGTCACCTCCAGCTGATTGGCTGCCAGGACTTCCACGGTTGTCGCTACTGTTGCAACAGCTGACTTTGTCAAGGCTGTGGGAGCTGCCAGACCGTGGGTGCTGTCAGGGCTTTCACGGTTGTCGCCGTTGCTACAGCTGACTTTGTCAAGGCCGTGGGAGCTGCCAGACTGTGGGTGCTGTCAGGTTGGAGCTGCTATGGGTGCCGTCCACGGTTAGCCGGTCGCTGTTGCAACAGCTGACTTGGACGGTGTGGGAGCTGCCATACAGTGGGTGCTGTCAGGGTTTTCACTGTTGCAACAGCTGACTTGGTGGACGGTGTGGGAGCTGCCAGACAGTGGGTGCTGCCACGGCCCAAAAGCGACTTAAGGTTGCTCAGAGGTACATGGTCACACTGTAACATGGTCACAGATTCGATCTTTCGATTCGATTCTGTTACCACCTCTTGCATTCGTTACACAATGAGTGGCTAGCCGTTGTACCGGCAGCCGTAGCGAGGTTGACTCTGGCGAGGTTGACTCAGCTAGACGGTGGTCGCAAATAGATGCCGAGCGGTGGCCAGCCGTTCTACCGGCAGCTTTGGCGAGGTTTACCGGCGACCGTCCCTAGTTGGTCGTTGGTTACTTCGCAACTACTTTGTGTTCTGACTGTTAGTTCGCGTCTGTTTCGGTCAGCCGTTCTACCGGCAGCCGTGGCGAGGTTCTTGATCAACGTTTGCTCTTATTCTTTACGACGTGCTTTCCTGGCGACCGTCCCTAGCTACTGCGCAAATACATACCGAGAAGTAGTCGTAGGGCTCAAGGATTGATTCGCTTTTTCACAACAAGCGGCAGCCAGTTGGTCATCTTGACGACGATTGCATTATTTGCAGATGTTTGTTGATGTTTGCTAGTGGCAGGTGCCAGAAATCGGCATCTTGCAAAAAACAACAACCTTGCTTGCTTCTTCCAGTCCTTGTCTGCGCGAGCGGTATGCCAACAACTTGCTCACGAGAGTATCCTAACCTGCTTGTTAGATGACCGTCACAAAGACGAATAATAAGTTTAAGCGCATGAACAAGAAAGACCGCAAAAACAAGAAATTTTGGGCGGAGGGCGTCCGAGCGCGTATTCTACAACCTCACGTTCAGCGCTATGCGCTGGCACTGTCACTAGACTGGAGGAAAAATCGCGACTTCATTCAGCAAGTCTGCAACGAGTATCACGCCCGCATCCACTGGCGGCTGGAGGACCACGAAGAGCCTGACCTTCCGGATCCCTTACCGCCTTTCAATCCTCTTGCTCCACATCCTGTCGAGAAATTGTCAACCGAAGACACCCAGTTAATGCAGGAGAAGATTAAATCTGACAACAAGGTTTGCCGCGTCGTTCTATCAGCTTGTCCAGTCTAGTTGATGCTGTTGTATAGCGTATCTCGCGGTATCTAAAATACCACGCGAGGAATCTCCGTGGCAAATACTCACATCCCGACATTGATAGCCCTTATACCCGGCTCTTTTACAAGATGGACTGCGCCCGAAACCAGCGAAAGCGCTCAGCTTCTCAGCAATACATGCACGAAAACAAAGAAGAGTTGCGGCCCAAATATGAAGAAGAGAAAGCCAAAGAAGAGGCGGCAACTGGCCGTAAGGTGACCATCGACGCGCCGTTTCGAGCGAAAGTGGTGAAACCCATTCTTGCCGAAATGGTTGAAGAAGCAATACAAGCATTGAAGGATCGAGCCCAGGCAGACGTCGCAGAGAAGAAAAAAGAATTCGCCAAGTTTAAGAAGGACGGAGTGCCCACGACGCCCGAGTTCCCGCGAGCGGTGAGCCTTTCATACGTGCGAGTCTATTAGTTCTAATGAAGGACAGGTGTATTGAGGAATTCCAAAACTTCTTTTGGGGGATTGCTATGCGACTTGCCGAGTTCACCGGATGTCATGTCTTTTGCATGATCGGTGGACCCAGGCCCTCGCTCGGGGGCCGTATATGGACGAAGTCGTGAGTTGTGTGATTGGTCTGATAAAATTATGACTGATTATACCAGGACCTACTTCGGTGCGAACCAGGCACCTTCCCCAGTGCCGTGGCCTGCTTGGGACAAGGAGCGATTCCAAAAAATGATCGACTTTTGGATGGAGTATCTGGAGACAGCCTTCAGTGAGTTTGGCTTCATCGTGGTTGAGTTAGTGTTAAAATTGTAATGCAGCTGAAGAGCAAAAGGCCGATGCCGCTCTGCCGAAGAAGACAGACGGATTAGATGGGTTGATCTCTATGAATGACGAAACCCAGCATGTCGACTTCCTCCAAGTTACCGAGTCGGACTTGGACGGGTCCGACAGCGACAGCGACGGTAGCAGCAGCGATGATGAGAGCAGCGTTGACAGTGGTGATGACGAAGTCACGTCCAGCCTTCGTAAAAAGCGTGATGTCAAGGCAAAGGAGAAGGGGAAGGGGAAGGAGAAGGCAAAGGAGGGGAAGGGGAAGGAGAAGGCAAAGGAGAAGGCTCAAGAGAAGCCAACACCCTCGACAAAAGCCAAAGCTTCAACCTCGAGGAAGGCGCCAACTGTCAAGAAAGCCAACAAAAGCGCGGCATCGCTGGGCGAGGCCCAGGTCAAATCAGCCACTACTTCCAAGAAAAGGAAACGACAGCAGTCAGGTAGTGATATCGAGACCTCTGAAGGTTCAGACATCGAGTCGTCGCAATCGTTGGCTGCTAATAGAGCTCGGAGGGAGAAGAAAAAGGGGAAATCTATGATGCCGGATTCGCAACCGCCTCCAATTCCTCCCGTTGTTGTTCCTCCTCCTATTGGCATGCAACCGCCGCCTCCAAGTCCTCCTGTCGGCTCGCAACTGCCCCCAATTCCTCCCGTTGTTGTTCCTCCGCTGCCTCCAATTCCTCCTGTCGGCTCGCAACCGCATCCTCCCGTTGGAAATCAACCTCTTCCCCCAACTGATGCGCCGGCATGGTTCCACGATCTACACAACGAGTTGATTAGGATGGAAGCGGGCCCGCAATATCACCACATGTTGCGACTGCTGGGGCAACTAGAAAGGGCCTATGGCTGGATAGACAAACAAGCATCACTGTCTAATGTTGATCGACCTAGCCAGGTTGCGGCTTGGTTCAAACGAGCTAGGAAGTGGACGGCGGCCAACGATGACATTCGTATTAAGGATGTGGCTGCTTTTGCGACCCAATGGCGAGCGTGGTGGACTCGACGCCAGCCCACCTGGCGCAAGGGACCCGCCGGAGAACTTTTTGCGGGTGGCATCGGATGGTCGGGTTGGGGAGATCTTGCGTTGCCAGGCAAGAGCGGAATGTCAGTCATCGTTGCAACCCTTGGGTGGTGGGGACATGAGCTTAGTTTAGCTAAGCTGCCCTTGTCGGTTGTGGGAGGAGGCAACTGCGGAGGTGACCTGGGTGCTGGAAAATCTTGTCAAAGATGCTCCAACAGAGATTATCCGACTCCGTGCTGACTGGCAGCAGCAGGAAGCTAATGGACAAGGCAAGAAGGGAAAACGTAAACTGTAGTGTAGTCGCGGGTTGTGTAAATAGTGAGAATGTCGAGTCAAGTTGTGAAAGAATTCGTCAAACTTTTTTTTTTACTGGGACTGATTTAAATTGTTTCTGCTCTGTCGTAAACTGTAGTTGTGTGTAAATAGTAAGAATGTCGAGTTTGTTTGTTTTGAAAGAATTCGTCATGTTTTACTGGGACTGATTTAAATTGTTTCTGCTCTGTCGAATTCGTGATTCAAATCAAAGGTAGTCAATTTTTTAGACGAAGAATAAGAATGATCATGGCAGTCGTTGGGCATGCTCGACTATTGTTTGTAACATCAGAAGTGACCTAAAGGGTAAGAGATTGGGACCAACAAACACAATTTGATTAACTGTGATCGCCTGACTGGCACCCGTGGTCCGTGTGATTGCGCTGGTGACGGAGTGATATATCACCTATTTGGCAGCTGCCAGAGCCTGGCTGCTCGCAGAAGCTTTGTAATTGAATGGCCTGACAGCTGCCGGGTCATGTTTGATATATATTACAGCTATGGCTCCAATGCTCCGCTTATCGTTGGTCCTCGCCCTCATTCGATTTGTGGTACCCAAGCTCCACATCCACGGCCACACGCTGACTTGTCAACTCCTTTACTCGCTTAATTGGGTCCCAGGAAGTGGACAAACGGATGGAGAAGGGATCGAATGGCCGTGGAGTATGATAGGTGGTGTCGCGGCGAGCACACGAAGTCAGTGGACCCGGCGCACGCGCCGATATTTTGGATGATCATTGGTCTCATTGGAATTGGAAGAAACTATTGGGTTTGCGTACGTGACAACTTTTCAAGTGTTCTGCTTCCTATCTAACTTTCTTCTCCCATAGCTGCTCTTCTTCGTAGACGGCTGGATAGCGCCGTTAACGAGCTCGCCCGTCAACAAGAGGCTTTTTCTCAATTTACGTTGCAGCAAGCCGATCGTGTGCCTCAGTGGAAGGCTATGGTGGAAGAGTTCGAAGCAGACGGTAGTAAACAGAATCCCTATCAGGCAACGGTGAAAGGTGCAAAGTGCTGGCCTCTTCCAATATGCGAGAGACTGACTTTTCTGGCAGGCGCGACTGAGGCGCAAGTGCGCGAAATACTCGATCGTCAAGATGAAGAGCAGCAGGCAGCTGGAATTCAACCTATCCACGATATCAGCCCATCTGCTTTTGTGGTAGAACTGCTGGATATCGAGCAAGAACAGTGAGTAATTCGTTGTAAATTTGTAAAAACATCTTACTCAGAAGTCAAGCAGACGTCGGGTCAGCGCTTACGCTGAGTTGAAGAAGTCCAACTCGACAACTCTATCCTTCAATCTACGAAACTCACGTCAGACATTGAACAAACGTATCGAGCATCTTCGCACCCTCCAGGCAACGTATACTCCCGCCTCATTGCAACGACTTGCACAACTTCGCCTTCCTCAAAGCACGGTCGCGGAAAAAGTGCCTCTTTTACCTCCTTCGGCATTAACTCCCGCTCAACGCGAAAATGGAGGGTGTGGCCCTGCGCTCTTCGAGATGGAGCGGCTACTACGAGATGCGCAATGCCGTTCAGCTCTGGTCAGCTTGCGAAACCAGCTCCACATCAAATATCGCCTCCTTCTTTATAAACGCACCCAGTCTCGGCATCAGAAGACCAATACACGCTCACGAACCCTGGTCACGCGCAATGAATACAAGATTCTTCTACATTCATGGAAGTATCAAGCAGCATGGGCATCGTTGGTGGCGATTGCGGGTGGGAAAGCAGCAGATGTCCCCTGGCCACAATTGCACAAGGACGACATCTGCTGTCTCGAAGACTCCGATGAGCTGGCCAAGCGAGAGGCAAGGGAGAAAAGAGCTCAATTCCGGCAACAAGAACAAGACAGGGCTCTTCAAAAGGCCGGATTGACTCCCCTGGTATCTCACGGACGCCCGGCCGAGCGAAGCGATGATGAAAGCGATTCTTCGGAAGGCGAGCCGGCTACTTTGCTAGAGACGTTTGGAGGAGGTTCGACCGTAGGGAACCACGACCAAGGTGTTCAGCATGGCGAAGCACGACGATCAGTGTCATGGATTTGGACTACAGCCGGCAGGACCGAAACAGATGGGGAGTTGGAGGAAGGTCAGTTTGTTTCCTCCTACTTATCCCCGTTCTGAAACTGATCTACGGCGGATATAGCTTTAAGGATCGAATGGGTGAAGGCTTGGGCTCGCGTTCGGCGCTGGTCGGAAGAAGTTGACATTTTGAAGGAGGAGTGGCGCCGCTTGGCGGTCTCCCTGGCTTATGAACAGAAGGAATGGGAAAAGCGGGCTCAGGGAATCGAGGTGTCCAGCATGTCTGTGGAGGACGATGAGGGACTGATTGCCTATGCTGTGAAGCAGGCAGATATTTTCAAAAACCTCCAGATCCGAGCTGAGCTAATTTGCTCCGAGGTCAAACTGTCAAAAGGAGTTCGAAGACACTGGCCGGCTCAATTTCGCACTGAAGTAGGGATGGACTTGAGCCCAGATGATGGTGATGGAATCATCGAGGACGATGTGGATGACGAGGATGGGAATTTTAGCGAAGGGGAAATGCTGTTGACGGGCGAGGACAACTATAGTTAGGTGTATCATGTATTTGGAGATAATGCGACGCAAGAATCCACCGAATACGGGGAGATGCCGTGTTCACATCCAGGTGGCCAGTGGCCTGCTGTTGCCGGAGTTGGTAGCCCTGGCGAGCCGGCATAAGGTGGAGCCGGCCAGCGAGCGCTACCAGCGCCCGGCAACAACAGGCTGGCCGGCGCAATTTGATGGCCCATCAAAGTGAGCCGGCCAGCGCGCGCTACCAGCGCCGGCAACAACAGGCTGACCGGGCGCAATTTGATGGCTCATCAAGCTGATGAGCCGGCCAGCGAGCGCTACCAGCGCCCGGCAACAATAGGCTGGCCGGGCGCGATTTGATGGCGCATCAAAGTGAGCCGGCCAGCGCGGCGCTACCAGCGCCCGGCAACAACAGGCTGGCTGGCGCAATTTCATGGCCCATCAAAGCACGCCAAGAGGCCGCCCAGGATACCTATTGATGGGATGTGACACATACCTATTTTGGAAGAGATCTATTGATGAGATCACGCCATCAATGGACAGGGACGGTCACATTAGGTCACCCTGGAGGGGAGCCATATCTTATGCATAACACTCTCTGGACCCCACCCATATCTTATGCATAGGTCTGGGTGCACAGGGTGGCGCGGGAGTGGTGAAGGCGCGGACGACGCGTAAAGTGGGTCCCGGACGAAGACACGCGAAAGGTCAACCCCATGCACGGGGAGGCAGATGACCTGACGGGCGGGAAGGTCCACCAAATCGACAAGGCCCGACTGCTGGACGGGGAACGAGGAATGGTTGGGGTCGCTGGTCGGGGCGAACGACGGGAAGGCGAGGGCGTCCAAGAAGAGGAAGTGCTCCAGAAGGAAACCAGGTGTTACCCGTAGCGGCGGGACAGCGCTGGAGTACGGCGGCAGCGTTTTGTCGACGAAAGAATAGTGGGGGGCCATGATGGGGAAACGACAAAAATCGAAGGGAAAAGGAGAATCGACGCAGCCTATATATGGCCCGAAACAGGGAATATTCCATATGGAAGCCCTCGTGAAAAGGAGATCTAAGTGAGACGCCCCGAGGACACCCGAAATAGCAAGAGGAGGACAAAGGACGCAAAATAAATTGGCAACACGAAACGCAGCGCCGCACGTGACCGCGGTGAAACACTTGATGGACAGGAAGAATCGATCTGCGGACGCCACGAGGCAACAGAAGCCGCGGGAGATTAAAAACGCGCAGCCGAAGCTTAGCTTAAGCTTATGGGCTGGATGGAATTTGCGATTGGAAGGACGAGCTAGAGTCAAATTAACCCAAGAAACCGGGGCGACCGAGCCACGCCGACTCGAGACGAGTCGTTCCTAGGGAGGGGGTGATGTCACGGATAAGACCCGGCCCGTCCGCTCCGGCGCTGGTGTCGGGCCATTGCGGGCCCGTAACACGCAGCACGTGATGACGGGGAACATGCGCCCCAGTAGGAGGAATGCACATGTGGGAAGCACGTGACCGAGAACGACGCGTCGAGCCGTCGCCGAGCCCAACTTCGACACCAGGGGACTGGGAAGGAGTGCTTAGGAGGTTAGGAGTAGCGCCTGGCCCGCAAGGGATGTACGATCGTCCCCTCTGCGGCCAGGAACGGGAGCGAGGAGGAGGAGGAGGAGAGGCCAGGGTGTCCAATCACCCCCTTTGCGGGCCCGTGTATATAAAGTGCGATAGTGTACCCTGTACTCTATCGCTTAGATCGTCTAAAGAACCACCTTACTCCATGCAAGGAGGCGTTATCGACTCATCGGGCCCGACACGACCCGATTCGAACCTTCGACTACCGACAGCGGCAAGGGACCGAGTTCACGGGCCCTTTCGGTTTCGATCTACCCCGCCCGCCGTACTTGCGGGCCCAACTATCCGTCTGTTCTGTTCCGGGCGTGCGTTCTTAGGAGAGGTCCTTGCACGGCCTGACCCGCAGTCTGACAGCTATCCTATTTGTCCTACAGGATGGGCCTGGATGGCAATATACCTGTCCTACAGGATAAATAGACCCATCCTGCAGGATAAATGAGAGCCTGACCATCCTGCAGGATGGAATTACAGCTGTTTTCAGAATAGTTGGCCATGGCCCAATTTTTTCATCACATATGAAAATTTGCACAAAATTTACATCTGAGATTGTGGAGGCTCTTCCTCGCGCAAAACTATGTATTTCTATGTAAAATTATATTCAGAATGTACTTGATAAGCAGGACCCAATGACTGGCCCTGGCCCAAAGTGCCTGCTTGCCATGCGCTAGTTTGGGGGCAGATGAGAGGGAGGGAGGGAGTGGCAGGGGGGGGGAAAAATGCGAGAGACAGGGCGGGCATGTTGGGGCTGTGGTGGCAGTGTGAACAGGGCAACTTCAGGCACTAGCGTGTTTGGAGATGGACTGGGGCGAAGAGGCTTGCAGGGAGGTGGTGGAGAGAGTGGTAGTGGTAGGGAGCAAAACACAGGTGATGACATGCTCCCCTTTGCCCTGTACCAATTGTGGTAGGTGGCAGCAGAAAGCAAAGCATCTGACTTACACTTGGCCTTTTAAACAACATGTCCAGTCACATTGTGACATGTTGTTGACACAAAAACCTTGCTGATATGATTCAAGGTAGGGCCGACGAGTGGTGTAGCACAAACTGATTGAAAGTACATAAAAAGTGTCCTACATATACAGCATTGTAGTAGCAATTGGGTCCAAGACTGGCAAATGTTGGTATTTTCAGATTCTAAATTATCCTGGTAGGAGTTTAAGCTTGATTTTTAACTGAGAGCAATATTCCTTCAAAGCATTGAATCACACCAGGGCTTCTGCTAAAGATTCCCAAAGCAGAACATAATTCTAATGTTTAACAGCTTTAATTGATGATCAAGAAAAGAACATTTAATCTCGTCAAGGAGAAATCAAGTTCTGTATCAGGGCATAAAATCTAGAATATTTGTTAATAATAGATGCATCTCACTTAAGCCTCAATAATTATTGCCTGAATTCTTCTCTTAGAATATATATATAATAGGCATTTTTTCACTTATCTCTGATATATTGGGTACATTTTGCTGCTGGACCTGGCAGATCTGGTCTTATACTTTGTAGCATATTTGCCGTATTTATTTGCTACAGATTATGGTTATAAAATGGTCTGTTGATATTATCTTTGACTTATATCCTATCTGAGAAATTAATATATGATCCCATTACTTGCAAATCAAGTCTACTTTCTTTAAGTTTCATTTTCCATCTGTTCAAGTTATTAAAATGTAAATTGTCACTGTCCCTGGTATGAACTGTTATGGGTTGTCCTAAGTACTACTAAGGATTATTTTACATTTGTTACTAATAAAATAATATGTCTTGAACATGCTTTTGGTTTACCATACTCTGGGAATACTGTGGTGCAAAATATTTTCTGGGCAAGCTGTTTTAACTTTTCTTTTGTAAGTATTTTTAATTAGTATTCTAAAGCAAGAGTCTCTTTGACGTGAGAGCGTGATGCAGCATGAGTGATGCGGTGGTCGTCACAGATCAGGGCACTTTCAGTTTGGTCACTCCCGGATGACAAGCCTTTGGCTTGTTGTTGCTTGTTTGTGCTTGTTTGTCCATATTTGGTAGTTGTTCCTGATCTCTCCCTTTATGTGTTCCTTAGTTCCTATATGGTTCCTTCTAGTTCCTGTTCCTGTTCCTTCTCCTAGCTCCTAGTCTAGTTAGTATATAAGCCTGTCTCTAGTTAGTTCATCATATCATATAGTTCCCCAGCAGAGTTTCCCCCCAGAGTTCAAAGTCTTTCCTCTTCTTCTCCCTCTCTGGTTGTGCTGTAGCCTTTGGTTGCAGTTGGAGCAGTTTGAAGGGCTCTTGCTTTTCTTGTTCTTTCTCACACCAGTGAGAAAGCTTGTCATTTTGGAGCCCACCGCGAGGGTACTTCAAAATTGCATCCGACGCGCCTCTTGGCCCACAGCACAGCTACGTGAAAGTCTCAAAAATCAGTCTATTACTTCCCCGCTACAGCTTCTACCGAATCTACGCTCACTCTACTCCTCTCGGATCTCCGCTCCGACACCCCTGCTTCATCTCCAATCCCTCTGACACCCCCTGCTGCCACACACCCCTCTGATCCCCTCTCCGACCCCGCCTTGCACCTCACTCCTTGCACCTCATCCTGCAGCTCGCCTTGTTTCCCATCATGCCAACATTCACGGCCTCCGCTCCCGCTCCCATCCCGATGCCCGCTCGCGGTGCCTTAACTGCACCAACATTCGACTCATCGAAGCCCTCTGAGCTGCGGCGCTACTTCGCGGATGTCGAATACCTTCTCGATCTGGCGCAGATCAGTGACGAACAACAGCGCAAGAAAGCTTGCGCACGGTACCTGTCAGTCGATGACCAAGAACTCGTCGAGGGCATCAACGAATTCGGCGACACCGCAGCCACCTACAACGACTTCAAGACGGCGGTCCGAAAGCTCTACGCGGGCAACGATGAGGACAATCTTTACACACTGAAAGATTGGGAAACTCACCTCCATTCAACGGCTCTAATCGGAATCCACTCTGAGAATGACCTCGCCACGTTCTATCGGACGTTCGCTCGCATTTCCCAATTCCTCGCTGCCAAAAACCGCCTCTCCGAGACCGAATGGAGTCGTGCTTTCCTTCACACGCTCCAACCGACTTCGCTCCAGGCATCCGTGAAGCAACGGCTTCAAATTCTGCGGCCCAACGTGCACCTAGACGACCCCTACAACTTGAAAGACGTGTACGACGCCGCAAAGTTCGTGCTCGCCGGGTCGTCTTCGCTTCCGGAGCACCCGCCACCTCCCCAGCTCGCTTTTGAGCGCCCGCTCAGTCCCGAAAAGCCGCAATCCGCCAGTCAACTCGAAACAGACTTGAAAGCATTACTCACCTCGGTTAATGCGCTCGTTGCTCTCCTCGACAGCCAGACACGCGAGTCCGCTGCCCCACCTCCCGTCCAGACGTTCCTGCACGCTCTCCCGAGCCCCAGAGTCGCCCAGCGCCCGCCCGGCTGTTCGTATTGCAGCAGAGCGTCGCATTTTATCCGCGACTGCCCGCAGATCCTCGAAGACCTGCAAAACGGACTCGTAAGCCGCAACAGCGAAGGCAAAGTGACCCTACCGAATGGCAGGTACCCACCTCGCGACCCCCGACTCCCCTACTTGCGCCAACGCGTCTTGAAGTGGCACTCGGAAGCCACAGCCGCCCCACAACTCGTTGTCGACGTGTTTCCCCACTCCACCTCTCCAGGCTCTCCCGTCCAACTTCCCAGCCACCAGTCCTTCGTATTAGGCGACAAACGGCGTCTTGAGGCGATCGCCATCGAGCAGCGGGTGCTGCTGGCCCGTATGGCCGCGAGACGAGCAGGAGAAACGAGGGGGGCGGAAGCAAAAGTTGCTGCCAGCACAGCCCTATCGCCGGCGATCAGTGATCACCGCCCGAAGGCCGATCTTCGCGCTGATTGCGCCACAACATCCTCGGACAACTCCCCCGAGCGTCCGGCCACCTTCCCGCTGCAAAAATACACTCCAACAGCGACCTACTGGCTTGCCTCAACGGCCACAAACCCGGACCCGGCTCACAACAACACCCAGTCTCCCCCGGCCTCCTTTTCGACCTTCCCCGGACATTATTTCGCCACTGCGCGTAATGCCGCTCACGTACAAACGGACTTTGGCCGTTCAACGTCTCCCTTCAATCCCGCGGACAACAATACCTTCACAGTTACTCGACAATCTACGTTGGCTCTGACTGCCGCTCCCGCCTCTTTAACCACCATTTCCCCGCGCTTGCTAGTGCTTCCGGGCACTCCCAGAACAAATCAACAAAATGCTTGCGTGCTTGATGCTGATGATCCACTGGCCGCGTCGAACGCTTCAACCTCACTTCCGACACTCGTCTCGTACTGCGTGTGACAGGCAGATCACCTGACCAGCATCTCTCATTGACTTAATGCCTTCAACAATTCACATATCTCCCATAACCCTTCACCAAGCCTTCCTCTCTTCTCCATCTTCTTGTCAGTGACTGGGGACAGTCACATTTTCAGTTGGGAGGGGATGACAAGCCTTTGGCTTGTTGTTGCTTGTTTGTGCTTGTTTGTCCGTATTTGATCAGGGCACTTTCAGTTTGGTCACTCCCGGTCAGTATAAGCAAAACTGATAAATGATTGAAGGTGAGCCGACGAGCGGCATTGCACAAACTGAGGACCAGCGGCCTTGTACAAGATTCCATAGCCATATATTGGCTGGTGCAAGTGCAGAAAAGTACAGAGCCTGAGTAGATTATCAATATTACAGTATCTGAATTTATGCTATTACAGTAGGACAGCCGGCACTTGTTGACTCTTTAAAGTTTTCCAGATGTTTTAGGGACCAACAAGCAGCTACAGATTCAATATTCTGGGCTCATTACTTCCAGTTTCCCCCCCCTGCTTCTCATCTTGAAGTTTACTAGTGTATCGACAAAAAAGGGCCGGCCCGGAACATCCAGTTTGACGTGAGAGGCATCAGTGTTACAGGGGTGGGGTCGTGACAATCATTCTCATTCTCGATGGTCCATTAGCACAAACTTAAATGAGTGGAGGTAGAGCCGACTGAGCGGCGAGGCACAAACTGATTAGTTATCATATTTCATTCTTTATACTGGATTTCATGTTAGCCTCAGTTCTTCTTTTAACGAAGAACATTCATTCAAATTGACCTTGGACTCATATGTACACGTCAATAAAGAAAGCGATGGGCACAGCCGTGATTCAAAAATGTTTAGGTGGGAAACATTAGTGGGAATATATAAAGTTTTTTCTTGGCCCAAAAACTCATTGCAAAACATTAAATATTTTGGTCCTAAAGTTCTCTTTGCCCCAGCCATGTTAATATTTTTTGGGCAGAAAAACTCAAAGTTCTTTACACAATAAAAAATTAATTGCAAAACTTTATATATTCCCACTAACGTTTCCCACCTAAACATTTTTGAATCACGGCTGTGGGGAAAACCAAAAAAATCAGGTTCAACGAAAAAGAGTGACAACAACTTCAAGCTTTTTACGATATCAACCCCTACCCTTCAGTAGAGGAATGCGAAATTATGGCGCAAGAATTACAAGTGCCAGGAGAATGCGTACACAAATGGTAACTGCATCGGTCCATGGCAATAAAACCTACCATAAAGAATTCACATGTGTCGGGAACAACATTATCGAAAAAAAGAGACTCATTCAAAAGTTGCCATCACTGAAACGAGTATGCGTTATTAAAACTTACCGAAAAAAAGAAGAGCCTTCGACGTGAAAGTGGTAGAAACATTGAAGGAGGTATACGCAACAGATCGGTATCCTGCCCGGAACACAATTCTGCATTTAACAGAAACATTGAACGTGAGCGCAACACAAATACGAAATTGGTATATACATAAAAGCACCATAACCTGTACTGAAAGATCTATAGGTTCCAACACAAGCGCCAACGAGATATAGAAACTAAAGTTCAACATACACACCACAAAAGTTTAAGTTCCAAGCAACTTGAAAAATTTTGCGTACCGAAGTCGAACGGTATCCGAAAAAAGATTTCTGTCACCAATTGGCAGAAACATTAGGTTTACCGAATCAACAAGTGGATAGTTGGTAGGCATTCATTAGGAAAATTTTGAAATACTGATCATAGCAAAGGTTTCAACAAAAACGGCGAGAAATACAGCACACTCGCTCAATTTATAAAAATATGGGAAATTGAATCAGTGTGACTGTAGTTAAAAGTTAAAATTGGATGTAACGCAAGAACGACGTCAGTGATAGAGGGATGATGCCATTAAGAGATCATGATGTGACACGGCATAGGTGTTGCGGAGGTTGTGACAATGATGGCATTCTCAGAGGTAGACATTCTCGGGAGACTATAGGCAAAACTGATAAATCAGTTTGTGGATCAGTTTGTGAATCAGTTTGTGAATTATTATATAAGAATATGTATATCTATCCTGTAGGATGGGTCTATCTATCCTACAGGACAAGATAGGTCTATCCATCCTGCAGGACAATGTAGCCATCCTGCAGGATGGTTGCATCATCCTGCAGGATATGTACCTATCCTGCAGGACATGCCCATGGGCATATGCCCACCCACGATGCCCATGGGAACCCGCACAGGATTGGGTCCACTCTCTATCCCAGGTGCGAAAAACGTATTCATTCCAGCAACATATTCAACTCCAGGTCTAGTACAGAACTAGTGATAATATTCGCGCAGCCTCGTTTGCAATTGACTTCAATCCACGGCAGTCCGGTGCACACTTCTAGGTTGCCCATGGCATCGTACGCAAGGGCAGCTTCCTTGTGCAAGTCATTTGCCAGAACACTCCTGAGTTCGAGATAGGGATGGACTCTATTGCACTGGTTGAACGCGGGAAGACGAATACGGAGGCGGCTTGGCGCGTCGCCTTTTGTTGAGCGGCATGCAGAAGCGCGCTAAGAGAGTCTGTTGCTTTAGCGCTGTCAGCCAAATGACGAGGAGGGCCACGTATGTTTTCGACGAGAAGCGGGGCAGAAAGCCCAACGACTTCCAGCAGGTGAAAGGTCTTGGGGTACTTGTCGCTAGTGCTAGTGCGAGTGCCGGGCCAAGCAACCTTCCTAATAAGATCTTGTGTGGTGCGGATTGGGGGCTTCGTCATCTGGAATGACGCCCGGTAAGTCTCCAACACTGATTGCGTTACTCTAATACGGGGAATAACCAGTGCATGATCTACGAAAACTCCTTGGGCAGCGGGATCATGATAAGATCTACTTGAGTCAATGGAGGAGTCGGGATCCGCTGGTTGATCAAATTCCGAAATGTGGATGGAAAACTGAGGATTGGAGAGTAAAATGGTCGGATAGTCGGCACGAAGACAATCCACAATAATATCATTGAAGGCATATCCAAAAGCTTCTAAACGGCGAGGGTTCTGTGCCACCGAGTGTTGTAGCGCCAACACACAGATGGCTGCTTCAAGTTGCCAGCCTGCTTCGTCGGTGTTACTCGGAGTATCTTTCATCGCACGAAGCTAGGTAGAGGAAACACTGGGAGCGGGGTTGGAGCTCAAGTTGGGGATGGGGATGAATTTTAAGCGAGAGAGAGTTGGTGCTTAAAAGCATTTCCAAGTGTGTGTGTGTCACGGCGTGTGTGTGAATGCTTGTTGTGCCTGTGCGTGGCGAAGGCATGTAGGCTGACTCAGTTGGTTGAAAACGGCGTTACAAAACGGCGTTTTAAAACGGCGTTTTCAACCACTTGACTCGCCATATATGATTCGATATACGATTTTGAACGCGTGTAATGACACACCTTGCTGAGCGCATCGAATATCTCGTTGAAGTAGACGAGCACTTCGCCCTTCGAAACTTTGGCGATATTGTAGAGACATTCGGCAGAGAAGTAGCGTATCCTATTCTCCGAATCGACGAAACAGTCGAGCAGCGGGTAGACAAACTTATCCATATACGGCGCGACATCGACGCCGAGGGCAATTGCAGTGCCTGCAAGCCCGATGAGACCACCATTGCGGATGTGGAGCGCGTTGTGAGTGTTGCTAAACATGTCGACCAGCTGGTCAATTATCTGGCTTATTCTTCGTTGGTCTCCTTGTTGGTGACATTCTCGGATTTGCCTATGAAAAGTCAGCGGCTGGTTGAGTTACGCCGCATAGCGTACTTTTCGAGGTCAAGCGCTGCGGCCTTCCGCTTCTCATAGATCTTGTCCACGAGTTGTTTGGCGATTGCGGACTCTATTTGCGTATAAGAGCATGCGGAAATAGGCGAAATGGAACTGACCCATGGCTGTCGCATGCAAGGCGCGTCAGATCATGGCCACTCCCAAAAAGGAAGTCTCACCAACTTCATTTCCAAACTCATGGCGTCAAACGACCCTGAGCTGGTCTTCGTTCATACTGTTGCATTACCACCTACCTCACGCTCCCTCTCACCACTGTCCGAGTTGGAAGGAGATATACCTGTGCCGCCACCCGAACCCCTTGCTTCTGGTTCTGAATCTCGTCCAACAACTTCTCCCTACGCGCTGCGCACTCGTCGTATTGCTAACGACGAAGAGGTTTTGCCGGCAGTCTCTCAACCCAAACTGCATGAATTTCGCGGCACTGTTGACACCGTGAATTGCGAATGGAACGACTGTGGCATTGTATTCGGACATCTCCCTACATTCATTGACCATATCCAAAACAGTAAAGTTCTTCTAGCTACTTGTTGCATCGCTTAACCGGCACAGCTCATATTGGCTCCAACAAATCGTCTTATACTTGTGAATGGGCGAGCTGTGCTTCCTCAGACATCTCGATTTGCCGTCCTAGCTCATGTGCGGTCTCATACCGGAGAAAGGCCATACGTTTGCTCCCATGCAGGTCCCTCCTGATTATCTGGCTCCTCATGTTCAGCTTTAAACCAATCATACAGAATGCGACAAGGCATTTGCACGCTCTGACGCTCTTGCAAAGCACATGCGGCAGCAACACGGAGTCGCAGCGTCCCTCCCCGGTCGTTCCAATAAACGCAAGCGTGCAATGGAAGAGCTTGAAATGCAACCTGTCCAACCTACCTCCGAACCAGCCACAGCTGCCGCATCTCAAGTCACCAAACAACCACGTCGAGGTGGGATGCGGAAACCCAAGGGACCAGTACTTGCCCCACCACCACCTCCACCACCTCCAGTCAAACTTATTATCCCACCGCCAAGACAACCTCACGAATGGGAGTATGAGTCCGAACCCGAACGTCCATATTCACCCAAGTCTCCCACCATGCCCCCTCATCTAGAAGAAGACAACGAAGATGATGACTTGAGATTCTCTATAGAAAACCTTCCACCACACATTAGAGCCCGTGTTGACCCTGTCGATGGTCAAATTGATGGGCAGTACTCTGTTCCCAAAGTCATGTATCTGATTCTCAAAGCCAAACATCGATATGCGCTACAACACCAAGAACAACTTAAATTCGAACTCGATTCGATGCGAGACGAGCTAAGGTATTATAAAAGCGAGGAGATAGCACTTAACAACTTAATGCGTGGATACATCGGGTAGGCTCGCCGTTTTTCGTTGCTCAAGTAGCTAACCGATTGTCTTAGTCCAAGATCTGAAATACTCATTGACCCCATCTATATCCCGGAACCAGTTCAAAAACCCCTTCCTCACCACCGAAAGAAGATAATGACATCATCCCTACAGTTGCGGCGCCACCACTCGACCCGCAAATAAACATCCCTTATCGAACCAGAACCGCCAGAGGCCTAATGTATATCACGCACTTGCAATTCTGTCACATCTATTTCTCATTTAAAGATACTAGGTATCCTGCCGAAAACAAAAAATCAGTCCTCCTCCTCTTCTGAAGCGTCTCCTTCTGAAAACTCCGAAATTTTCGCTTCCCACTCAGTGACAGGCATGGCTTTCAACTTCAACATCAACTCGTCGGTACCTGGGTAATGAAGATTAGCGCCTGTCTGCTCATACTTTATCTTATCGGCGTTGGGCCACAATTTCTCGTAAATAGGCATCATGGTTTCATGCCAAGGGGACCGAAACCAAAGTGGCTCATGGTCATCGGGCAGTTGGAGAGTCTTTTTCACAAACTCCACGATCTGGCTCAGCATGCCCTCCAGCCACGTGCGGCTTGGATTATTGAAGGCGAGATGGATGATTTCCACCAATTCTGGCTCTGCATTTTGGCCCAACGATGTGGGAGCAAGTCTTGCATTCCTGACAGATACAGTCAATTAAATGTCATGGTGAATGAGAACAAAGGCTTGCGGGAATGCGGCGCGGAAATGTGGCCTAACCACAGCTGCCATAAAAGTACTTGCTGGTAGGTGGTACTCGAGGCCTTCGAATTTGAGCGACCATAGATGCTTCAGAGGCACGACCCAGCCAAGAATGTATCGTGGCGTGACAGGGCCATTCGCTGGTTGACGTGTACCATGGAGGGCCGGGGGCTTGTCAACAGGAAGAGTGTCAGGGAAGAGCCTGCGAGTGGTTAGTTTAGTAAGTGCGGATGAGTAGACTCTAGATCTATGGATATACTGACTCTGTTTGGAGTTTCTCTTGAAAATGTCCGGTAGCCATAAGTATGATGAGCTCGATTGCGAGTGCGATGTTGGATTCTGAGCCTGATATTCGACTGTCCGAGGCTTTTATAGTCCGTCGGAATGTTCGGGCCGTCCACGAAGGGATTGGGACACGCTCGCTTTTTGGATGGATGATTTGATGATATATATATTTTGTAGGTAATGGGAGGATGACTCAGCTCTGAGCCCGCTATGCTCCTGGAGAGGGAGGGCCTCGGTAGCCCACTGTCTAGCTAGCAAAAACTAAAACAAGCATGCAAAATAAGGCAAAGGGATGGGTGGGTGGGGACAGAAAAGGAAGGGAAGAGAGGCAGTGAGGAGGGAGGTAGGGAGACAGCAACGACGACGACGAGCGCGAAAAAGAGAGTGATGGTGATGTGACAGTGTGATGGTGCTCACTGCCCAATCCCGACGGTCTCGCCAGACCACCCAGGATTGGGACACGCTCGCTTTTTGGATGGATGATTTGATGATATATATATTTTGTAGGTAATGGGAGGATGACTCAGCTCTGAGCCCGCTATGCTCCTGGAGAGGGAGGGCCTCGGTAGCCCACCAAGGAGAGATCTGAGCGTGCGACCAGCCAGAGGAGGGGGAGCAAGCAGCGCAGATGCCAGAGGCACTCCATCAGACACGCCAACCCCCTTCGCGGCGGGCCAACTCTGGGGAACGGGTCGGTGGAGGAGGAGTGGGCATAGCAAGTGTCGACGAGGAAGAGGCAGCTGTCGCAGACAGGCCCCGCGGCGGCTGCTTACGGACAGCCACCCTTGGACGGTCACCCCGCTTGCGTTGCGCTGGAGGGGGATCGGCTGGGACATGACCACTATGTGGGGACAGACTCGGTGGAGGGAGGCGAATAGTGAGACGAGGAAGACGGGGGTCCGGGGCCGGAGGGCGGTTCGGTAGACGTCGGGAGAGGGATGGAGGAGTTGAGACCGGGCGAGGCAGTAGCGGGGGCGGCTTGTGCAGGCGGGAAGACAATGTGCGAAGAACCGACAAAGGCTCATCCACGTACAACTTCCACGCATCCGATTTCCACCGGCCAAGAAGCTTGATTTGCTCAGGCGAGTAGCCAGCCTCCGCGGCAGCAAATGCAGCACCACGGCGGAAGCTATGACCAGAGAACTCACTGGGATCATAGCCCGCCTTGGCCAGATAGTCGTCGAGCGCGCGCAGTGCAAAGGAGCGGGTAAGAGGCGAGCCAGCCGAAGTGACAAAGAGCGGCGCAAATGGGGAAGTTGCAGGGTGGATATCGCGATATGCACGGAAACGTGCGACAGGGCAGGTCTCTGCCCCTGGCGCAGCACCGACCAGCACACATGCCCCACGGCGGCCCACGTCCGTCTTACTCGCCTGAATATTACAGAGCAAGGAGTGGTCTGTAACGGCCGTGACACAAGCTTCCGAAAGGTTGAGCGAAGGGTCGAAGACAGCCCCATCAGCAACCGTAAACTCGCCGCACCGCATGAACGCAGCCCATGCCAACGTAAAGGCTGACGCCAGCATCCTACCATCATGATCGGTTGGGAGCTGCGCCAAGACTGCCGCCAGGATATCCCGAGTGATTGGGCGGCGTGGGCGACGAGGCTTTGTCCCATAGCAGTGCTCAGCCCCCGCAATGATCCTCTTGAGAATCGGGCTATAAAGCGCGTCCATCGACCAGCCATGCTCAGCGTGAATAGTGCGAAGGCTGGTAAGGTACTTGCTGAGGGTGGCGGGCTGGACGAACTCTGCTCGGGTTGCGAGAAAGAGCTGTACTGCGGAGGGTTCGGCAGGGAGGACAGACCCGTCTGGGCGAGTGAATCCACGTTCATGGGCGAACTTGCAGAACATTGCAACATGACCATCGATGCTTGCCCCGAGTTGACTCCCGTAAGCTGAACCAGACGAGGCGGGCGACGGTTGGGTGGAGATGCGCATGGGCCGCGAGCCAGTCCGATGAGGGAGCACCCAGGCCGGGCGGAGGGACGCGAGCCTGGACCACTGAAAACGGGACAAAGCATCAGCGACAGAATTCTCAGCAGTAGGAATCCAAACAGAGTGAAAGGTGAAGCCCTCCGCCGATGCCAATAATGCGAACGTCCGAAAAAGAGCCTGTGTCGGCGGGTGGTCAATGGAGCCTGAGTTCAGACACGTCGCAATAGCTTCATTGTCAACATGAAGAACGACCTCATAGCCCCGCCAGTGGGACCCCCATAGCTGTGCCGCCCGTAAGACTGCCCACATCTCCTTCCAGTGTATTGGCATGGCCATCCTGCGCTTTGGGCAGCGTTCCGCAAAATAGACATCATCCCAGAAGCCCCCAAGGCCCAGCTTGCCGCTTGCATCTGTCCACACCGAGATGGCCGGCGGAGGAGGACGAATAGCAAAGGAGCCATTGAAGATGGGAAGGTACTGCTGCCACCAACGCAAATCCTTCCGGGCCTCGGCGGGGATTCGGCGCTGTAGAGAATGGGGAAGGGCCACAAGAGTCCGCATGAAGTCCCGAACACGACGCGTGAAGAAGCGAGCAGCAGGTATAACAGCCTGAGCAAAGACAAAGTGGCCACAAAGTTGCTCCAACTCATGATAGGAGGAAGAGCCCCGGCTTAGACAGCGCTCGACCATACCAGCCAGGCGGGTGACCTTATCAGCAGGGAGCCGTGCCTCCATCGCCACAGTGTCAAGTTCTACTCCGAGGAACTCCAGGCAGTGGCAGG